AGGGAAGAAATGTAACTTGGAGGCTCAAACCTGTGAAGACGGCCTGATGTCTGTGCCCTGGGCCAAGAAGCTTCCTGCAATCATAAAGCAGAAGGCAGAGGAGAAGAAAGTTCCTTGTGATCACACAGCAGCCTGTCCTGATGGCTCCACCTGCTGTAAAACCCAAGAAGGTCGCTGGGCCTGCTGTCCATTGCCAGAGGTTAGCATTGGACTGAAATCGGTTTTTAGACCACATTTCTCAAAAGTACTTTATTAACACACACAGAATGTCAACTTTACACCAAACAGAAAACTGTTGGTAACCTAAAGTTCCGTCACTCTGGATGGCTGCACGCAGCTATCACCAGGAACCTGTTAGTTAAAGGAGCTTAAACTGCTGTACATGCTGTATGTCCTGCGTCTTTTACAAAAACTGGAGACCACTTGAGTATCATATTGATGAGGTAAAAGTTGACTTACAGTGACAAAGCTACCAATACATGCCTAAGCATGTTGCTGGCTAAGTTACAGCTAGTAAAGCAAGTATTCTTTACACCACCACGGTGACACAGTGCTTTCGTGGGTAACATTGTTGTCTCACAGCAAGGAGTGATGTAGATAAAGTGTACAGAAAATAAAGAGTCTGTGGTTAAAAATGTGACTTGTTAAGAGTGTAAAATTACTCTGAGGTCAGTAAAACTGGACATGTGCGTTGTAACGGTGAATGTGTTACATGATTTACTGCTGCACCCACTTTACTTAAAAACAAAAGAAAGTTCTGTGACTGCACTAACCCTTGTCTTTGCTAGCCTCTGCACAGACACAGTCAGTTTGTTTGTGTAGTGCGTGACAAAAAATAAAAGCAGAAATATCAAATAATATCTTTAATCTACATTGCATTTAACCTGTTTTATTTTTGTCAACATTGCTCTGCCAAGCATTGTCAGGCTTCTGTTTGTATTTGAACTTGACTATCTGTGACTGACTGCACTTTTGTCTTTTTGCATAAAAGGCGGTCTGCTGTGACGATCACAAACACTGCTGCCCGAGCGGCACCACCTGTGACCCGACCGCCGTGTCTTGCAATGGCCCATCAGGCTCAACTCCCATGCTACAGAAGGTACCTGCGTTCACTACTGAAGCACCTACTACTGTGCAGCCTACAACTGAGAGTCCAACAACAAGCGCTAAATCGGAGGAGGAGGACAAAGAAGAAGGCATGATTAACTGTGATGCCCACACCAGCTGCCCTCAGTCGACCACCTGCTGCTACATGAAGAATTTTGAAAAGTGGGGCTGCTGTCCGCTGCCTGAGGTGAGCTCTGCTTTTTCACAGCATCACTGACCTCCAGTGTCTCCTCCATCTGTTATTAAACATCAATATGCAGCAGCCCAGCGCATATTTGTCGCAGTTTAATTTTATAATGACAGGAGGACATACAGAAAGTGTCAATAAGGTCTTGTTCTCATCCATCTTTTCTAAAATGGTTGCTTCTATTGGCAGTCATTGGAAGAGTCAACATTAACGTCACTATTACTTTGCATCCTAACAATGCTTACACGTATGTGTCACATCTATGAGTCATACCCCCACTCCTGATATAAACGGCGGTTTTGGAAGAGATTGCAAATTTGCACACAACACAATTGAGGCAGTTGATGTTTACTATGATTACCAGCCAGTCCACAAACACCAATCAAACATATTGCTTGAATAAGTTGTGCAGTACAGCACAGTTTCATTTGCAAAGCTGTTGTCATTTAATCCTCCAATATGTTAAGAAATGCTTCACTAACTCTACACTAACACACTGTCAGTTATTACACACCTTGGGGCGTCAGTAACATTTCCCAGGTTTTGAAAAAAAGCTTATTTTTACACCACAGTGGTTTTGTTGATGTCTTTTGTGTAGCTGAAGATTATTTGTCCTTCTACAATACAAGAAAGAGAAAAACCCAGTACAAGAAAATAAGATAGTTTAGATCATTTTAAAAGCCAACCTCTTTTAGGACCTGGCAAGATTCAAAACATCCTGAAGAAGTTGCAAGAGATCCTAAAAGAGGATTAGATGGTTTATTTTAGACCATGTGGTGTGAGGTATGTGTGTGAGTGTGTGCGTTTTAGGCCGGCTGAGTTTTTTCATTCCTAAAACTTCCTTTGAAGCTTATGAAAGAAAAACCTGCCGCCCACACTGCAATCACGGGAGATGTTAACTGAATGTCACCTGTTCATCAAGCCCCAAAAAAGCACAACTAGACATCATCTTTAGCCCTAATTTGCATGGTGATATCCTGTTTTTCTGTTTCACATCTTTTCTCATATTCCTGTTGAGAACTGGCGACTTTAGCAGCTTACAGGCCACAGTCACTCAAATGAACTCGAATGAACTTTATTTTGGTTGCCACTCTGAATTTATAATAGTCATTTATAAACTGATGTGTCTTTAAGTTTCTAGAATAGAATTTCACCATCTTCTTCAGACTCTCTATAACCTTTATATATACACCAATGAAAAAAGAAGTGAAACAGCAGAATTGATGAAGTGAAAGCCACTGCTGATGTTTTCACTTCTCCCCAGGCGGTGTGCTGTGAGGATGGGAGTCACTGCTGTCCTAACCAGTATAAATGTGACAATAGCCGCACGTCGTGCATAAAAGGAGAAGTGGTGATTCCATGGTACACCAAAATTCCAGCCATTACCAGCGACGAGGCCGAGCCCTACTCTGTCCAGTGCGAAGGTGCAAGCCAGTGTCCTGAACAAACCAGCTGCTGCAAGCTGTTCACAGGCGAGTGGGGCTGCTGTCCACTCAAAAATGTGAGTGCATGAAAATATCATATACCCTGGTAGCCGTCTCATCAGGTCAGGCTTTGCCTATGCAAACTGGGGACTATAATTTGCACCAACTATGTGTCTGCAGGCTGTTTGCTGTCCGGATAAGGAGCACTGTTGCCCGCAGGGTTACACCTGTGACATCTTATCCAGATCCTGCCAGAAGCTCATCATGATGCAGCTGGAGAGAGTCCCACTGACACCGGTGTATCTACTTGAGCCTCAACCCCAGCTCAGCCCAACAAAGCACAAAGACATCAAGTGCGATGAACAGACCAATTGCGGGCATGATGAAACTTGCTGCAGGACTTCTGCCACTTCCTGGGGCTGCTGTCCATCTTCTAACGTATGATTTACAGAAACTAGTCCTGCTTCCTTCCTCCTGCTTTATGTTAACTGTCAGGGAGAGCCGAGAACTGTCAGTAAGCCAATGGCTCCAAACTTTTTCATATGCTTACCTCAGAAAAGGGAGGCTGCACCTCTTGACTGCCTTCAGGCTCACTGCTATTTTGAGATCACTCCTGGAAAGTCCAGTTTTAGGTCAGCAGATGAAAGTAATTTTATTTTACAGCCAAAGTAGTATTTCCTCATTTTGTACTATATACAGTAATTCCCTAGATTTCAGTTCCATCCTTCAGTGAAATTATAACCCTTTACACAGTTAGGTTAACCTTTACCAGACTGCAAACTCAACCATTTTACCCTCTAATTGGTTTGTAAACATATATTCACTGCTCGAGATTCAACATGAGCTCCATTGTAAACAAATTAGTAGGTTAAACCACTGTTGACATGAATAGGTTTTAAACTAATATGTTGTTTAAATATGTAGGCCTCTAAACAGAGCCATAAGGAGAACTTTGCTACTTAAAAAAATTAGTGGTATTACTGTTGTGTTTTCATGTAATACTAAAAGGCAAATCTGTACTTACATTGCAGCATCTTTTTAAAAAAAATGCCTTATAAAGCATCACAACGTCTGAATTGTGAGGTTTTGTGCCAATAAAAAGCGAGCGTGTATGAGTTAAGTAAACCATTCAGTTTTTTTACAGACTTTCCTCCCTCTGTCCTCCCTCTAGGCGGTGTGCTGCAGCAACATGAAGCACTGCTGCCCGACGGGGTACACCTGTACGGAAGAAAACTCCTGCATCCAGAACTCCAAGCTTTACTGGCCCAACTGGCACGTGTTCCTCGCCAACAAAAAAAGAGCCCTAATTGTGTGAAAACACCACCTCTAAACTGTTACTAGTTTTAGTTTTTGCATATAACGCACTAATGGAGAAAGAATTCTACGTTAATTTCAAAATGCTTTGTTTTTAAATGACACTTTGAAAACGATTTGCACCTCAGTTGCTAAGATGTTTGCAATCTTGAAGTTGAACATTTTGGTCTGAATGCACCTAATTATATAGATGACCGTGTGACTAATGTATTTAAGGAGTTATCTTTGTTATTCCAAGCACACTCAGTTTGTCACTTGAAACGCTACTCCATCCACAATAGAAGACAATCAAAACACTCCACTTGTCAGTCATCTGTTTCTTTAATACTTGCTGCAGCTGCCTTCTGTTGAAAAGGTTATTTCTTTATCAATAATAGTCAATCAGTCAACACCTGATTCAATATCTTTCATCATTCTGAACATTCAGTCTGATCATTTAATGATTTTGTGGTGTAATTACTCATTAAATCTTGGGTTCATAATTTTGTGCATTGGATTAGTAATCTGTGTTAATGAGGCAAAGGTGAAGAAATTCATGCTTGGATGATCTTACCCTGTCAAAGTGTCACATTATCCATTAAATCAATAAAAAAGAAGTGACATTATTAAAAGTTGTCCAGTCACTTATTGTGGTTTATTAGAAAGGGCTGTGAAAAAAGAAAATGCAGTTTATGAATGCTGTTATATTTAGTTTTATATTTATTTTACAGTGCCAATGTCTGCTATAAATAACATTATAATATATATTTTGTTCTTTGGTATAAGTAGAAATAATTGTTCTCCTTTGTCACATTTCAAAAAGGCCATGCAAATGATAAAAAGAAAACAGGTGTTACAATAAGGAAGTCCACTACAATTTCACGTAAAAGATTACCTGGCCTGTTTTCCTTTATCCTTACTTCCGGCACAGAATTTCACTTTTTAGGCTGACGTCGTACTGCTGGAGATTTGACTTTTATTTATTTATTTATTTATTTATTTATTTTTGAAACCGTGATTTCAGCTTTTATGTGGGCTCGTGCTGCCTCCTGTCTACCAGCAGTAAAAATTACAGCTTAAGTGGAAATCCAAACATCCGATTCTACGTTTCAAAATAATAGTCTAACCCGGAGAAGTAAGTTTCTTGATTAAATATCAAAACTGTTTTTTTAAAGAGCTAAAACAACAAATAAAAATAAAATATTTAAAAACAAATGATAAAATACGACACTTAAATGAACTGTGAAATTATTTATTACATTAATCGAAAGCTTAAAGTTACATGTTCGCAGTAATGGTGTGTTTTATACATTGTATAAATATATAGAGGGACGTTAAAATGGGATTTGGCAGATGGGGTAATTAATGAAAAGTAAGTCACAGAATTATTTCGTTTGTGAGGTCCAGTAGATTTTCCTTTGAGTGCAGAATGGGATCAGCTGATCTGCTCCTCCGGTAAATGGTAAATGGCCTGCATTTGTATAGCGCTTTTCTAGTCCCTAAGGACCCCAAAGCGCTTCACACTACATTCAGTCATTCACCCATTCACAC